CTTCCTCCAGCCCCCCCCCCGCTGCCGGCTCGCCTGCCCCCCCGCCACTGCCCACCCGCTTGCCTCCTCAGCCCCCCTCCCTCACCCGCTGCTTGCCTGCTCACCCCCCGTGGGCTGCGCAGTGAGCTCACCCCCCGCGGGCTGCACAGTGAGCCCACCCGGGTCCCATGTTGTGCAGGCCTGACCTAAGTAGTGGGTCCCCATTAAGCACACAGACTTGATTGCAATTAATTCCACATGGCATGGGTGGTGCCACCAATAGTTAAGATTACCTGACACTGCTTTGATATGCCTCAGGCTGAATTTTTTGAGAAAACTTTACCTTAAACATGTCCGGGAATGAGGTTGGGGAAAATGTTTTACACATGTTTAAAAAAATTGTATGACTGTTCAACTGAGAAGCTCTTGCAAGTTCATGCTATGGAACAGGGTCTTGAAATTTTGACAGGGGCGTTACCCTGGTGCCAGCAATGTGCCTTTTGTTTGCACATGCTCAGTAGAGACCTGTGAGTTTCTGTTAAATTCTCTGACAATTCCATCCACACTGAATATGATGCTCCACCCCAGGATCTGAGCAGCTCTTAAACTGTGATACCAGGCACCAGAACTGAGAGCAGAGAGACTCTGCCTCTCCTGTCTGCTCAGTGCTCCCCCTGCTTGGCGCTTATGCAGGGAGGAAGAGAGAGAGAGAGCCTCTGACTCATGAAGAGGAGTGAAGAACAGGGTGTGGGGAAGGTTCCCTGTGGCAGGCAGGGGAGCAAGGAGGGGACAGGAGGCAGGGGATAGGGTGACCAGACAGCAAATGTGAAAAATCAGAACACTGGGTGGGAGGTAATAGGAGCCTATGTAAGAAAAAGACGCAAAAAACGGGACTGTCCCTATAAAATCGGGACATCTGGTCACCCTAGCAGGGGATGAGGGGATTGCAGTGGGGGAGGAGACAGGTGAATCAGCTGGGGGTGGGGGGGAGGATTGGGGCAGAAGGGTTTAGAGCGCTACTTCCTAAAGAACCTGAAATTGGACCCCCATTATTTCAGAGTTTCAACATTCCTTTGCTATGTAGCAGGCTGTGAAATCTACTGGTGGAATGTGTCTCCAACCCATCTAGTGGTAGGACCACATAGAAAATAACAGCTTTCTACTAGTACCAATTAATCCATTAGCTCAAGTAATCGAGGTCTGTTTGTGACTCTAAAAGTCCCAACCCTGCAGATAAAATGGGGGTGGTGGTCAGTATGGTTCTGTACGATCGAATTTTTGTGTTTTTTAAAAATTTAAAGTACAAACAAAAAACTGTTAAATGAGGCAGTAGTCCTGTGGAAAAATATTATATGATCCTGCAGGTTGGATTTGATTTAAATCAATTTGATTTAAATCATCAGTCAGGAAGACTCGATTTAAGCATGGTTTTCTACATAAAAGTGCATTCTTGTTGGTTGTTATCTTAATACATATTTTTCACAACTCAGATAGATGTAGGTTTCATTTTTAGAAACTACAGACTATACGTTTTTAAACAGTGATTTATTTTGAGAACTTTTCAGATTAGTTTTACAGCTATATCAGAAAATGAATGATTGATTGTTTGGTTATTTCATTTACCAAAGGTAATTGAAGCAGATAGTTCACCTCTCAATGACTTCATAAATATCTCCAATTCAACAGGTTAATCATTAATATTTGGAGGATTTTCTTGCCAGGCTGTATTAGGAGGAGAACATCACCAGACAGACATTTACATTGTTTTAACTAAAACAACATTTAAGTATTTTGGATTTTTTTCTTCAACAGCAAACATATAATATTTTAACAAAACAAGCATATGTCCCTCACTTCTCGCATTTATCTCCAGACTTCTCCTTGTCCAGATCTGTTCCGCCCCCAACAATCTTCTATTTATTGAACTTTTTGAAACTCTGCACTTTTAGAGAGAGGTAAGGGATTGACTCTGTGTACAGAAATTTGCAGAGGGACAATAGAGTTGAGATCTGTTATTTCTCACTTCTCTATATATATTTATCTATTTATTTAAAACCATGTTTGCTGTTAACAAGCATGTTACCTCTGGAGACAGAAATCCACAGTTTGAGAACTGCAAAACTAAGCAAGTCTGATGGTATCTTCTAGACTGAGCACTGAGTTCCATTGGGTA